ATTGGTTATGTGTGGCGAAACAGTTGTGTCCTGTCGTTTTTATGGTCAGGGCGAAAACTTAGGCCGTCGGTGTGGTTACTGCAGTCGGCATTTGCGATTGTGGTTTGTTTCTGGTGTCTGTTGTTAATGTTACTGGGGATTGCTACTGTGGCGGGAAAATGTGCGTTTGAATGCGGTTTGGTTCTGCCGAAAATTGCGAGTGCGGCGCGAGGGTGGCTGAGGCCTGGTCAATTTTTTTACAGAGTGTGTTGCGCTTCCACGTGGTCCGATTCTACAGTGCGCTGGGGAAGTTGCGCGCGTTGCGCTGCTGCCTTTTGTGAGTGCAATGTGGTGCTACTTCTACGAAATTCACTACATCGTGTTTTGCGGTTCGACTTTTGAGGCTCAGGGGTGGCATTGATCGCCAGTTGCGCGTGCTGTGTGTGTCAGTCTTTGCGATGCTGACTGGGCAGCTATTTCGCCCCTAACCGTGAGTTCGTCATTTGCGACCGTGTTAATGATCTGTCTGACGAGTTCTCGACCTGGAGCTGGTTTCATCACATCATGGTAGAAAACGCCGAAACTTCAAACAGGGTAACCACGTGAACAATGGCTTGCCAAATCAAGCCACTCAAACCTACCCCGCTAAACTACAACATGGTAACCTTCCTGCCCGTGCGAAAGGCCCACATGCCTGTGACGATGCTGTGTGAAACCTCTGCGCGTTTTTGTCTACCGGTGTGCTCCTGAAAAGTTGTGCTCCTCTGTCGAGCTCAAGGTGTAGTTTCGGTGGGAAGGGGAGGACTACAGTACAGTACCAGCTAAGACATGCCATATCAGTGATACAGTAGGACCATAGTAAGGTGGCTGGCAGTGAACCAATGGCATGGCGGCAGTTTTGCTTCTGGCAGTGCCTGCTGGGTCATCTCACTTACGAGGGGCCGTGCTCGCTCCTCGCTCATTGGTCAGACCATTGACCAATCGTTCCCCTGCGTTTTGGGGGTCCCAGGCTGGACACCTCTCACGGACGCGACAGCGAAACCCCTCAAAATTGGAAAGCCTACCATGTTTGTCTTCTCCCGCCGAGAGAAGCGCTTTCGTAGGAGGCTTCCGAAGCATTCTCCTGAAGCCGATCATAGTAGCCTTGCGAGGTCTCAAATCCTCTTCCTTGTACTCCTATTAGATGTCTTCCACAGCAGGCAGCTATGGAACCCTGTGAGAGGGGCCGCGTAGCGGGTGCAGACCAGATTCCATCGCTTATAGACTTCAGGTTGGTTTCAAAATAGGGTGGGGGTTTGTTTTGAGTTGTAGTACTGCCAGGCTACGGTATTAGCACTTAATAGCACCACGGTACTCTGGCAGATTCACTTCATAGTTCACAACTTCCGAGCTTGTCCGTTCACAAGGGATTCACTCCTATCCCTTCTCGCGCCTGAGTAGATCCTCCCCATTCTAGCAGTAGTACTCCGATTGGTGTCGTCCTTCAGATTCATTTTCGAATATGGACTGCTGTGGCGGCTGCGACGGCTGCGACAGCTGTAACGATCTGTTGGCGATGCTGTCGCGGGAGTGGAGCGACGGAGATTTCGATCTGCTTCTGGCACAAGACGCAGCTTCTCGCTTGATCATAGCTCCGGGTTTCGCTGACCGTGACGTTTTCGCTAGTAGTGGCGACGGCTCTGTTCCTACATCCGCGAATGTTGGCGACGCTTACAAGCTGCTTCTCGCACAAGCAGCTGGCTTGATAGCTCCGGGTTTTGCTGACCGTGACGTTTTCGCTAGTAGTAGCGACGGGTTCGACCTGCTTCTCGCACAAGAAGCAGCTTCTCGCTTGATGGCTCCGGGTTTCGCCGACGTTTTCGCCAACGGCGATGGCTCTGTTACGACATCCATGAATGGCGACGGCCCTGTTTCTACTAGAACCCGTACTCCCCGAGTCCTAAACGCAGCCTGTGCCCAGCTGAAGAGACCCCTTGTTCAGCTTCAAGCTGTCCACGGACAAGCAGCTGTCCCTGGGCCTGACTCCTTCTCCCAGGCAGCGTTTGAGCCGACACAGAAGCACAAGAGGCCCCTTGTTCAACTGGTCAAGGGGCCTGACTCCGTATCCCGGCCGGCGGCTGCTAATACTGCTAAGGCAGATCTGGCTGCGCGGACGGAGTCGCTGTGGAATGAGCTAGCAGCAATGGACGGCGGCGATTGCGGCGGCGGCACTGCCACTGCCACGTGGCTAGATCATCATCCTGTTGCAGCCGCTTCAAGCTGGCGGCTAATCGCCGCCAACGCTGAATTGGCGCGCTTTGCTGGTGGCAGTGCCAGAGACCCACTGCCAAACAATGCTTCTGAAAGCGTGGCTCGCTGGGCAAAGGGAGAGGCGCCAACGAATCTTGACCAGCAGCAGCAGCAGCAGCACGCATGCCCGAGCCGCAACCCGAAGCTAAGTCCCAGCATCGGCAGAGCTCAAACACCGGACGTGACCCCGAGGCTGACATCGAAGCGAAAGCGTGCTACAGCCCCCAGTGCTCCTGAGTTTGCGTGTGGGGCTCTGGGGGAGTATTCTTCACAGCATCATCACGCGATGGGAATGCAGTTTGCCGCCCAAACACGTCTACGGAGAAGCTTCCCTGCTGCTTCCCTTACTCCCTCCAACCCCTCCCTTGTTGCCTCCTCCTCGTCCTCGTCCTCGTCCTCCTCCCTCCCCTCCTCATCCTCCTACCCCTCCTCCTCATCCTCCCCCTTCCTTTTTAATGGGAGTGCGAATGGCACGACCCACTTACTCCGTGTGCCTTACGCAGGGCGCCTGCGGGGTATGGCTCCTCCCAAGCCATCTGGCGTCTCCATCTATCCACTCCCCTCCTCTCCACTCCCCTCCTCTCCATTCCCCTCCTCTCCCTTCCCCACCTCTGCATTCCCCTCTTCGCCATTCTCCTCTCCATCCTCTTCCCTCTCATCCCTTCTCCACCCACCTGCCTCTTCCCCAGGTGGAATCCTCCCCCCTCCTTCCCCCCGCGTGTTCTGCTGCCCTAACGATAAACTCCCCACCAATACCCCCTTCACCAGTAAACACCTCCCGAAGCCCCTCCCCAATCCCCTCCTCAGCCCCCTCCTCACTCGCCTTTCTGGTGGCCCCTTCCCCAGATACTCCCTCCCCAGAAGCCCTCTCCACAGCAAATCTGTGTCAAATGCCTCTTTGCCCACTCACTGCTTCTCCAGTGCTCCCCCGTCAAATGGCCCCTGCCCCATCACCCCTTTCCCCACTGCTGTTCTCCGCAGCTCCCCTTTCCCCAGTAATACCTTCCCCAGTTTTCCCTCCGCCAGTAAACCCCTCCCCAGTGCCCCCTCCCCCAGCAAGCCCTGCTCCAGTCATCCCTCACCATATAATACCTGCTCCCTCCCTCTCCCTACTGCCTGTGCACAAAGATCGACCCACCCACTGAAATCCACCCTCCCACCGCAACCCATCTCCCCACTCGCGTTTGCTCTGCATGTGCCTCTCTCATCGTCACCCCCGGCCTCAAGAGCAACTGAACTGGAAGCGTTCTTCGAACGAAGCTTGAGATGGAAGACCCCTCATGAGGAATTGGGGATAGGTTCTTAAAACATAATTTGTGTGTGGGCTTCATGGAGCTGCATTGGAAACGTTCTTCAAACGAAACCTGAGTCTTGGTCACTTCATAGGGAGCCTTAAAAATGGAGCTCTTTATTATGGGCCTCCTAGGTCATTCAGGTGAATCGAGTTGTTAACCCAAAACGTGGGTAGTGATTGTATGAAGCTGGCTGGTAAAACTGTTACTCTAATGGCTTGATGAGTAAATGGTTGCCAAGCTAACTGAATCATTATGAAAGATACACTTCCGTGCACGCTAAGGGTGAGCTTGGTCCTAAAACTAATGTTCCCCCCTACGATTTTTAGGGTTTTTTAGGATGATGTAAGGTTACCATCTCTCGGAATTCTAAATCACCTCAATAACAATCATTCCCCTCGCCCATCAAGTTCCATCAAACTGTTGTAGAAAATGACTTCCTATCTGGGAGGAGAATCCACGTTTGTCCACATTTGCATAAAACCAGCTGGCCGATAGCGAGTACATCATTCGGAAGAAGAAGTGACCTCTAGTGACCAGAAGCTGCACTGCGGCAGCCATGAACCATGCAACGCGATCCGCGTTGTGAGAGTCCCAGTGGGATGCTCCCATCATTGCGATACATGCCTGCTGAATCATCTGGGCTGTGAACCTGCGCGTTGATTGGCTGGAAAATGAAATGGCTGGAGAGAGACGAGGTGTCTGGCTTGATGCGCAATGCGGTGTGCGCGGTGCTGGCGGAAAGTGACATAGAGTCCGGGGGCTGGGGGGATTGTCCGCCTCCCCCGTCAATCCGTGAATGCTCCCCTTGTTCCACCAAAAGTGGCTTCCCCTGGTTGGTGGGGTGGGAGGACTGTTCACAAAACGGAACCTTGCGGGCGCAGCCTTTCTGCTGCTCCGTCGGGTGTTCCGTTTTCTGAAAGGTTGACGCGGAATCTACTTGTGGTGCGGCAACTGGTGTGGTACGTTACAAGATGGCACTGGGATCGCCCGTAATGCTTCATGTTTTGAGTGTTTGAGCGTAAGTATATAATAACGCCAAGGCTCAAAGGTTTTTGAACCTTGAAGGGGTGGCGAGAATTGCGAAGGGTGAGCCCTCACAAAAAACCCAGGCTCTACCCAGGCGAAGGGTATGGCTCTCGCGCGCAGGGGGGCGACATCGCCAATATTGGCAATGTCGCAGGCGTGGAAGACTGAAGAAACCTGGACCCAAACCAGTCAAGGGCGTGTACGCGATCACCGAGTGCGAAGCAGTAGAATGAAAGGGAAACGATGATACACTGAGCGGATGCACAAAAACGACCACACACATGAGTGAGGACAAAGGGACAGGGTTACATGGCGACCGTACGAATCCCCCCTTCAGCCCCAACACCAACCCCACCCAGCCCAGCGTGAACAATGGAGAGAAGGATACGTAGCTCTACGACTTAGCACCTCGAATTCTCGCGCTTTGGAGCGGCATTCCAGCACCACTATTCCACATTCCCCACCCGAAGACACTCTGCACTATCCCGCCACGTCGAGAAAGCGTAACGGGGCCGGGGCTCTTTTCGAAAACGCGCGAAGCGCCACCTCTCATAGGGTGCCTGCGAGACACTCGCAACCTGTCGCGCCTGACAATCGCCGTTCTCAACAGAATATTCGCCATAACCAGGCACCCAACTAAGGGCCACATCGGCCCTCATACAAATCGGACCCATCGTCGCAGCCGTCTTCCACACCTCGCGGGCCAGCGTCGCGCACAAGCAGCGCCAGGGCTCCCTCAGTCACGCAACGCACAGCGGGAACTTAGCGACACCCACGCTAGCCCACCCGAATCAAGGTGCGCTCTGCATCTTGTAGCGGCGCAACTAGGGTGTTGACGCATTGGCGCGGCCTATGCCCATGCATTCCCGTGGGACTGCATTCCCCGTGCTTTCCACATGCCCATCCGTGCCCACGCCAATGCCTTCGCAGTGCCCATGCTACCGATGCGCCGTGGCCTTCGTCATTCTAAAATCAACCCGATGCCCATGCACTCCGGCGCCAATGTGCGCACTATGCCCAGAGCTCGCCTTCCCCCCAAACCAGAGCTCACCTTCCCCCCCTGTCCGAACCCAACTTCCCCCCAAACCAGAGCAGGTCCTTCCCATCCTAAACCCACCATCCCCCCATACCAGAGCTCAAACCCCCCCCCCACCCCCCCCCCCCCCCCCCCCGGCCTGAGGCCATCAGAGCGGGACTTCCCCCCCTGTCTGAACTCACCTTCCCCCCCCATCCATGGCTCCTCTTCCCCCCTTTCCTTGGTCCACCTTCCCCCCACACCAGAGCGAAACTTCCCCCCTGTCTGACCTCACCTTCCCCCCCTGTCTGAGCTCACCTCCCCCTCCCAACCAGGTCTCATCATCCCCGCAGTCTGAGCCCACCTCCCCCCACACACCAGAGCGGGACTCCCCCCCCCCTCTGTCTGAGCTCACTTTCCCCCCCTGGCTGCTCCCACCTCCCCCTCCCAACCAGGGCTCATCTTTCCCCCTGTCTGGGCCCACCTCCCCCCCCACACCAGAGCAGGACTTCCCTCCCCGTCTGAGCACACTTCCCCCTCCCAACCAGGTCCCATCTCCCCCCTGTCTCCCAAGGGGATGTCAGGGGGATAGAAAGAGAGAGGGAGAGTGAAAAAGAGAGGACAGGAGGGGGAACGAGAGAGGACGCGAGGGGGAAAGAGAGAGAGTATGAGGGGGAAAGAGAGCGGGGGCCCGGGGGATAGTGAGGGTGTGTGAGGGGGATAGGGAGACGGCGGCCAACCGAGGGAAATAGAGAGGACAGGAGGGGGAAAGAGAGGGGATATGGGATGGAGAGAACAGGGATATGGGATGGAGAGAGCAGGGATATGGGATGGAGAGAGCAGGGATATGGGATGGAGAGAGCGGGGATATGGGATGGAGGGAGCGGGGATATGGGATGGAGAGAGCAGGGATATGGGATGGAGAGAGCAGGGATATGGGATGGAAAGAGCTGGGATGCAGCTTCGGTGGGAGAGAGGGGATGTGTGGGGGAAAGAGAGAGGACGGGAGGGGAACAGAGAGGATGTGAGGGGGAAAGAGAGAGGATGTGAGAGGGACTGAGAGAGGATGGGAGGGGGAAAAGGAGAGAATGTGAGGGGGGGGAAAGGAGAGGATGTTATCATGGAAAAAAGGAGGGAGGGATGGCGGGGGAAAGAGAGAGGGTGTGAGGGAACGGAGACAGAGGAGGTGAGGGGGAAAGAGAGTGGAGAGGGAGTTGTGAGTAGAGCAGGCGACAGGAGGGGGAAAGAGAGAGTTCGCAAGGGGGGGGAATAGGGGATGTGAGGGGGAAAGAGAGCGGGAGAGCGGGGGAGCAGGAAACTGCCAGAGCAAGAGGTCAGGGGAGCGGGAGAGCGGGATAGCGGGGGAGCAGGAAAGCGGGAGAGCATGAGAGCGGTGGAGCAGGAGAGCGGGTGAGCAACAGGGCAGGGGAGCAGGAGAGCGGGAGAGCAAGAGGGCGGGGGAGCAGGAGAGCGGGAGAGCAAGAGGTCGGGGGAGTGGGAGAGCGGGATAGCGAGGGAGCAGGAAAGCGCGAGAGCAAGTGGGCGGGGGAGCAGGAGAGCGGGAGAGCAAGAGGGCGGGGGAGCAGGAGAGCACGAGAGCAAGAGGGCGGGAGAGCAGGAGAGCGGGTGAGCAACAGGACGGGGGAGCAGGAGCGCGGGAGAGCAAGAGGGCGGGGGAGCAGGAGAGCGGGAGAGCAAGAGGGCGGGGGATCGGGAGTGCGGGATAGCGGGGGAGCAGGAGAGCGCGAGAGCAAGAGGGCGGGGGAGCAGGAGACTGGGAGAGCGGGAGAGCGGAAGAGCGGCAGAGCGGGAGAGCGGAAGAGCGGGAGAGCAGAAGAGCGGGAGAGCAAGAGGGTGAGGGAGCACGAGATCGGGACAGCAAGAGGGCGTGGGAGCAGGAGAGCGGGAGAGCGGGGGAGCAGGAGAGCGGGAGAGCAAGAGGGCGGGGGAACGGGAGAGCGGAATAGCGGGGGAGCAGGAAAGCGGGAGAGCAAGAGGGCGGGGGAGCAGGAGAGCGTGAGAGCAAGAGGGCGGGGGAGGAGGGGAGCGGGAGAGCAGGGGAGCAGGAGAGCGGGAGAGCGAGAGAGCGGGGGAGCAGGAGATCGGGGGAGCTGGGGAGCAGGAGAGCGTGAGAGCAAGAGGGCGGGGGAGCAGGAGAGCGGGATAACGGGGGAGCAGGAAAGCGGGAGAGCAAGAGGGCGGGGGAGCAGGAGAGCGGAGGAGAAAGAGGGCAGCGGAGCAGGAGAGCGGGAGGGCAAGAGGGCGGGGGAGCAGGAGAGTGGGAGGGCAAGAGGGCGGGGGAGCAGGAGATGGGGAGAGCAAGAGGGCGGGGGAGCGGGAGAGCGGGAGAGCAAGAGGGCAGGGGAGCAGGAGAGCAGGAGAGCAGGAGAGCGGGGGAGCAGGAAAGCGGGAGAGTAAGAGGGCGGGGGAGCAAGAGAGCCGGAGAGCAAGTGGGTGGGGGAGCAGGAGAGCGGCAGAGCAAGAGGGCGGGGGAGCAGGAGAGTGGGAGAGCAAGAGGGCGGGGGAGCAGGAGAGCGGGAGAGCAAGAGTGCAGGGGAGCAGGAGAGCAGGAGAGCGGGAGAGTGGTGGAGAAGGAGAGCCGGAGAGCAAGAGGGCGAGGGAGCAGGAGAGCAGGAGAGCAGGAGAGCGGAAGTGCGGGAGAGCACGAGAGTGCTTTTTTTTTTTTTTTGGCGGGGGGGGGGGGGGGGGCTTTTAGTGATCCCAGGAGGAAGAGCAGGAGAGCAAGAGGGCGGGGGAGCAGGAGAGCGGGAGAGCAATAGGGCGGGGGAGCAGGAGAGCGGGATAGCGGGGGAGCAGGAGAGCATGAGAACAAGAGGGCGGGGGAGCGAGAGAGTGGAATAATGGGGGAGCAGGAGAGCGGGAGAGCAAGAGGACGGGGAGCAGGAGGGCGGGAGACGAAGATGGTGGGGGAGCAGGAGAGCGGGAGAGCAAGAGGGCGGGGGAGCAGGAGAGCGGGAGGGCGTGGGAGCAGGAGGGCGGGAGAGCAAGAGGGGGGGGGGGCAGGCGAGCAGGAGAGCAGGAGAGCGGGAGAGTGGTGGAGAAGGAGAGCCGGAGAGCAAGAGGGCGAGGGAGCAGGAGAGCAGGAGAGCAGGAGAGCGGAAGTGCGGGAGAGCACGAGAGTGCTTTTTTTTTTTTTTGGCGGGGGGGGGGGGGGGGGGCTTTTAGTGATCCCAGGAGGAAGAGCAGGAGAGCAAGAGGGCGGGGGAGCAGGAGAGCGGGAGAGCAAGAGGGCGGGGGAGCGGGAGAGCGGGATAGCGGGTGAGCGGGAGAGCGGGAGAGCAAGAGGACGGGGAGCAGGAGGGCGAGAGACGAAGATGGTGGGGGAGCAGGAGAGCGGGAGAGCAAGAGGGCGGGGGAGTAGGAGAGCGGAAGGGCGTGGGAGCAGGAGGGCGGGAGAGCAAGAGGGGGGGGGGGCAGGAGAGTGGGATAGCGGGAGAGCGGGGGAGCAGGAGAGCGGATGAGCAAGAGGGCGGGGCAGCAGGAGAGCGTGGGAGCAGGAGAGTGGGAGAGAAAGAAAGCGGGAGAGCAGGAGAGCGGGAGAGCAAGAGTGCGGGGGAACAGGAGAGCGGGAGAGCGGGAGAACAGGAGATCACCGGAGCAGGAGGCTGGGGGCGCGGGTGAGAGGGTGAGCATGAGAGCAGGAGATCAGGAGAGCAGAAGAGAGGGTTTCGCAGCAGAGCAGGTGAGCAGGAGAGTAGATGAGCAGGAGAGTGGGAGAGCCAGATAGCTTGAGGGCGGGAGAGCAAGTGAGCGGGAGAGCAGGATCCTGGGAGAGCGGGTGTGCGGGGTAGCGGCAGTGCAGCAATAGCACGGCGGTGTCCACGTGATGTGGTGTCGGGACGGCGCGGCTCTCGCGAAAGCGAGGGCTGGAAATGGCTCTCCTAAATCAAGTGTGGTTCACGCCCCTCTAAAACTCCCCGGTTTTTCGAGTCAGCGCGACGTGCACTGGGATTGCTTGACGGGAAGGGCGGGGGGCAGCGTCATGTCCTAGGAGTGCATAGTAAACTCCAAGGGACCTTGCGTCTTGGTGGGTTGGTGAGATGCGTGTTCTGGAGTGCTGACCTTGCGTCGTATGGCTGTCGCTCGGCCAATCACCCATTTGCGCCTGAGAAGTATTCCTTTCTCGCGGGCCAACAGGGTTACCAAGTTTCCATTGTGTGGGCGTGTCAAGGGTTCGCCACTTGGAAGGTTCAAGGTACTCTGTGTCAAACATGTGTATCTCCTATGTTTGCATAGACTGTATAGGGCCACCTCTTAGAGGGTGCAACACTTAGGTATATTCACCTGTACTCTCTCTACTCAATTATTCATTCAGTTTTGAGATGGTATCAGCAGTAGGTCGGTCCCCGCCCGCCCACGCTTCCGCTCTAGGACCTACCGGCCCCTCCTAGCCCACCCCCCCCCCCCTCCTCCTAGCCGCGGCCGCGCGCCCGTCCTAGCCACGCCCGCGCGTCCCTCCTCACGGCCCTCGCGCCCCACGCCCGTCCTAGCTGCGCCCATCCTAGCCGCGCCTGTGCGCCCGTCCTAGCCGCGCCCGCGCGTCCCTCCTCACGGCCCTCGCGCCCCTCCTTACGGCCCTCTCGCCCCGCGCGCCCCCTCCCCTCGGCCCTAGCGCCCATCCTAGCTGGCCCCGTGCCCGCCCTAGCGGCCCCCTGCGCCAGTCCTAGCCGGCCCCGTGCCCGCCCTAGCGGCCTCCGCGCCCGCCCTCTTTACCCCTTGGGCCCGTTCCTGCCGGCCCCGCGCCAGCGCCCGTCCTAGCGGCCCCGTGCTCGCCCTAGCGGCCCCCGCGCCCGCTCTAGTGCCCGTCCTAGCCGGCCCCGTCCCTGCCCTAGCGGCCCCTGCGCCCGTCCTAGCCGACCCCGTGCCCGCCCTAGCGGCCTCCGCACCCGCCCTCTCGGCCCCTGCGCCTGTTCTTACCGGCCCCGCGCCCGCCCTTGCGACCTCCGCGCCCGTCCGCTCGGCCCCTGCGCCCGTCCCAGCCGGCTCCGCGCCCGTCTGCTCGGCCCCTGCGCCCGTCCCAGCCGGCCCCGCGCCCGTCCCGTCGGCCCTGCGCCCGTCCCGTCGGCCTGGTGCCCGCTGCTCCAGGCCCCCGCGCCCGTCCTGCCTCGAGCTGTGTGCGGCCCGCTCGTCGTCCCTGCCCCGGCCCTGCATCCTCCCTGGTACGACTCCCCATCACCTGTACCATCACAAGCTAATGCTGAAGGCCAGCCTCTGGAGTTCGAGGCGTGGCTCGCCGACCTCCGTCGCCACCTCACTGGCCATCGGCAGGATGGCCACCCGCTTTCCGCACACCTTGACGGTACGCTCCCCTGCCCAGACCCCCCTGCTGTGCTGCCCGCTGACCCCACACCCGCTGAGCGCGAGTCTATTGCAGCCTCTGCCCTTGCGCACTCTGTCTGGCTTTCTCGAGACGCTGTCGCTCAGCTTGCCATTTGCAATGCCCTTCCCCCGTCTGAGCGCCCTCGCTTTAGGTCCATCACTACCGCCCAGGCTTACTTAGATGATGTCATCAAGTGCTATTCCACCCCTCCTGCTGCCTCGGTGGGTCGCCTGATCCTCCCGATGCTCTTTCCCGACCTTGCGTCTTTCCCCACTGTCTCTGACCTGGCTGGCCACCTGCGCTCGATAGATGAGACCTGGCGCGCTGCCTGCACTGACGCACAGCTTAGAGCCCACCAGCCGCCCATTACCTCTACCCTCTACCTGCTTGCCACCCGCCTCCCTGACCGCCTTGCCGCCGCCCGCGACCGCTTCCTTAGCATTCACCCCGATGAGCTCACCCTCACCGACTTTGTAGACACCTTGACTTTTATTGAGACCCGCCACCGCTCCATCGCCCAGGCGAGCGGTACTGTGCCGGTCCCTATCTTTCAGGGTTGTGCCCCCGCTCAGTGTACGTTCTCCGACGGTTCTGTCGCTGTGGCTGAGACTGCTGCTGCAGCGCAGTTTCGTCCGGGGAAGGGCCGCCGCCCCAAGGCTAGGCGCGGCGGAGGAGGAGGGGGTGCAGGAGGGGGTGGTGGTGGAGTCGGGTCGTCTGGTGCTGGAGCGGACGAGGGGACCCTGCCCGGTCCGGCTGAGCCACCGCCTCCGCAGTCGCAGCAGTAGCAGCAGCAGCCGCAGCAGTCGCAGCAGTCGCAGCAGCCGCCACAGACGAGGCACGTAAGTGTCCTCCCGCCCGGGTGGCCTGGCGCTGGAGGTGGTCGGGCGCGTGGTGGTGAGCCGAGTGGTGGTTCGGGAGGCGTGCGTTGTCAGTACCAGATCAAGACCGGTCCTCGCCGCGGCTTCGTTTGCGGTAAGCTCGGTCATACCACTCCCCGCTGTTTTCGTCGCCTGGACGACCTGTTTCGTCAACGCTTCGGCCCGTCGCCAGAACTCCCGGATTGGCACAGTTTGCTTAGTCGTAGGATTCAGATTTTTGACATGGACATGGATGCCATTGTTTCTACTCTGCATGTGATGTATGCTGATGACTCTAGTGCACTTCCCGCTTATTACTCATTGTCGTCTAGTGTAGGTGTGCCTAGCTTAGCCTCCCCTGCTGCGTCAGGCATAGGAGCCCCTGGTTTGTTTAGCCTTGGTGCTTCCGCCGTCGCCCAGTCGCCGGACGCCACTGCTTCGCTTTCCTTCACCTTGGACTGTAGCGCTTCCCGGTGCTTCTTCCGCGACTCTACTACACTGACGCCGCTTCCTGTTCCTGCTGCCGTTTCTCTTGCTGACCCCTCCGGCGGTCCGGTAGTCGCCCGCAGTTCCACCACCCTTCCCTGTCCGGCAGTTCCTTCGGGCTCTCTTATAGGTCTGCATATCCCCTCGTTCTCCATGAACCTAGTTGGTGTCGGCTGCCTCCAGGACCTTGGCATCACCACTATGTTCCCTGGTCACGAGCGGTATGCTGTCTGTACCGAGGCCGCCACTGGTGCCCCCCTGTCCACGTTCCCCCGGGACCCGGTGTCCGGCCTGTTCACTCTAGACACCGTGACCCCCCCGGCTGGGGCGCCCCTTCAGGTGGCTGCTCCTGTCGGTCCCTCACTCACCCGACTCTCCTTTGGCACCACCGCCTAGGTCACCCAGCGCTCCCGCGTCTGCGTCACATGTCCCAGCACGGTCTCGTCCTTGGTCTCGCTGGTTCTCTCCCCGCTTTTCCCTCCTCCCCTGCCCCACCTTGCACGCCTTGCGTCGAGGGTCGGCTTCGCCGTGCCCCTCACTCCTCCTCGTTTCCCCCTACCGCCGTGCCGCTGCAGACCCTACACATGGATGTCTGGGGCCCGGCCCCCGTCCATGGGCCGCGTCGAGAGCGCTACTTCCTTATGCTTTTCGACGACTTCACTCGCTACACCTCGGTCTTTCCCCTGGAGCGGAAGGCCGACGTGCCTGACGCTCTCATCCCCTGGCTTGTCTCTGCCCGTGTCCACCGAGGTCTCCCTGTCTTGCGTCTTCACTCCGACTGTGGCAGCGAGTTTGCCTCAGGTGTCCTTGGTCGCTTTTGTCGTGCGGAGGGCATCACCAAGACGTTCACCCTACCGGACTCCCCACAGCAGAATGGGGTCACTGAGCGACGCATCGGTTTGGTCATGGAGGTGGCTCGCACCTCCATGATCCATGCCGGTGCACCCCATTTTCTGTGGCCGTTCGCCGTGCGCTACGCTTCTCACCAGCTTAACCTCTGGCCGCACCCCCAGCAGCCGCAGGTTTCGCCGACCCGTCTTTGGACTGGGTCTCCTGGTGACGCATCTGCGTTCCATGTCTGGGCTGCCTTGCTCACATCCGTGCCTCCGGCACAGACAAGCTCACTCCCCGCACCCTTCCCTGCGTCTTCCTCGGTTTTCCCATTGACGCGTCCGACTGGCACTTCTAACACCCGCCGTCTCACCGCTTCCTTCACTCTCGTGACGTCACCTTTGACGAGTCCGTCTCCTTCTACCGTCGCTTCCCCCACCGCGGTCCCCCGGTTACCCCCCCCCTTGTTCCTGGTCACTCCTTCCCCGGTGGTCCCTGTCCCCCCCCCTCCTCCTCCCCGTCCTGCCCCCTCTGGTGTGTCCCACGTCAGCCCTCTTCCGTCGGTGGTCCCGGTTGAGGAGTCTTCTGACTCTGGTGGTCCTGCGGCGCAGTCCTTGCCGGCTGCCCCTCCCCAGGCGTCCCCTCCTCCACCGCCTCTGCCGCCGCCGTCGCCCCTGCTGTCGCAGCCGTTGTCACCTCCGCCGCTGCCGCCGCAGCCGTCGTTGTCGCTGCCGCCGTCGCCGTCGCAGCACCCGTTCGCTGACTCTGGAGGTGCTGGCGTTGGAGTGTGTGCTAGTCCCGGTAGCCCTGGGGGTGGTACCGGTCCTCGAGGGGTTTCGGGCCCTGGGGGTGTTCCCTCTGGGGGTGCTGGCATGGAGTGTGCCGGTGGTAGCCGAGGAGCAGCTTGCGGTCCCGGTGTCGGCATTGTGCCGCCACAGCAGCACTCCCCGCCGGTGTCAGCCCTTCGCCTGCTCGGCCTTCTGTCCCCTGACCCTGCGTATGTTCCTCTCCGGCCGTCTCCTCCTCTTCCCGTTTATGGAACCTGTTTTCCCTCCGCCGGACTCGTCCCCGGCTCGTCTTCCCCCTCGTTCCGCCCCTGTGTCCCCTCCTCTGTCCCCTGACCCGACTCCTCCGTCTCACGTCTGGTCTCGCCGTCCCTCCCGTGCTCGTCCTGTCTCCCCTATCTTGCGCTCCCACCCTATGTTGCTTCTTGCCCACGCGTCTCGTCCTCCCCTTCTCCCGTCGCCTCCTCCGTCCTCCCTTGTCGTTGCACCCCCTCCTCTGTCTGAATACCTTCGTGCCGCTCGTCCTCTTGTTCCTCGGGTCCTTGCCTCTCTCGTTACCGACCCGGCTGTTCCGGTCTCGTGCCTTGCCGCTCTTGTCGCTGCAGTCGCTGACTTCGCCTCTACCCGCCGCCTTGACTACGCCACCGCTCCGGTCTCTGACCCTGCCTGTCCTCCGTCTGTCGGGGGTGCTCCTGCCCTTGGCAGTGACGTCTTGGAGGACCGCCAGTTCGAGCTTGCTTTCCTGTTCGAGGCTGCTCCCCATCTCTGTTCCATGCTGCTAGCCCCTGAGGGTGATCCAGACGCTTTCGACATCCCGACCCCTCGCACTTACGCTGAGGCGACCTCGGGACCTTGGGCCTCGCAGTGGATAGCTGCCATGGAGCAGGAGATGGCATCTTGGAGATCCACCGGAACCTTCGTCGACGCAGTTCCCCCGCCTGGGGTGAACGTAGTCGATGGCCGCTGGCTCTTCAAGGTGAAGCGCCCTCCTGGAGAGCCGC